ATAGGAAATGAAAACGAACAAAAAGAAAATTAAGATTACTATAATTGACATGCTTATTGTATCAAACTTATTGTTAATATATAAAATACATACCGGAATTCTTCTACAGACATATTTCCATTATTTTTTATATTATAAAAACGAAATATATATCGACATCTTTGTTCAGCAGGAGCTCCTAACATGAAAAAAAATTGTTAATATGAATTAAATCATCTATTAAATCTATATACCTCCATGTGAAGTACTTGGATCCATAGCTGCTAATCCTATGAAATTAAATAACGATAATTTTTTTCTATAGAATTATTCTAAATAATTAAACTAACCAAGTAAATAATCTGAATAAGTTAAATAAGATTTTTGTTGAGCATCAAAAGCTCGAAAATAAGCTTGCATTTTAGTTTTTTCTACTGTTGATAATTTGTTATCCATGGCTTCAGTAAATGCTTGATAACTCATATATTCACTAGGAAATGTATATGAATAAAATTCTTTAAATATACGTTCTTGTACTAAAAGATAATAATAATTATATATAGAAATTTTTTTCTTTCATTTTTCTTTTATTTTACATTTTGTATTAAATTTCGCTGAACCCATCAGCTGTTCTTGTGGTGATGCAATTAATTGATTATTTGGATCAGGTTGCTTACAATCGATAAATTGAAGTATTGGCTCTTCGAATATTTGTCCACCGGATATAAAATCGTCTACATAAAAGTAATTTATATATATATATATGAAGGTTATGCCGATCTCATTTGTTTTCTATTTATCTTTACAATATTTACGGCATGCCAAGTTTTATATTCTTCGGCATATTTAAGACTATTTCTGTTAGAAGTAATTAAAGTATTGTATGTGTTTTTTTTCTTTTTCTTATATGATGATGATTACTGAACCTAGTAATTATTCATTGCAACTCATCTTTGTTATTCTATGGTAATTTTTATGAGAGAAAAATTTGAATATTCATGTGTCTCATGTTCAATAAATTCCCTCAAAACTTCTCAAATTAAGATTAATTATTTCAAGTCTATGCAGTATATTTGTTTTCATTCATCTAATTTTTTCTAAATCAAAATTCATTAGTTTAGTATTATTATAGAGTAAATAACGATGACTTTGCACTGTATGACACCAGACAAAATGAATAAATTTTATATTAAATTGTAGCTCATCGTATATTCATTAAAAACAAACTTTCATTATTGTAAAGGTACAACAAAATATGATTAGATAAAGAAATGAATTTCTTACCCCATCCATTAGCTTGTTGACGTTCTATGATAGTTTTTAATAAATAAAATGGTTCAAGTCCTAGTAATTCTCGATTTTTGACAGCTGTCTTCATTCGCTCAAAATTCATCCATATTGAATTGACTAAAGTCGATCCATTACCACGGTTCTATATCATAAAATAATAATTATTTTAAAGATTCTATTAAATAAAAATTTCATTTCATTACTAGTCGTCCTTTAGTAAGAAGATAATATGTTTGTGTACTTGGTAAACATGGTAATAGATCACTACAACGAATTTTAATTACATTTACAAGTTCAAAATCGTATGGACATATCTTAATGAACAAGAAATAAATTAAAATGAAATGAAAATATTAAACTAACTTTGCTAGTAATTCGTTTAGCGGCAAGAGCTCGCGTTTCACTCGATTTAATTTCATCAAATGGAAACCAATAACCGCGACCAAGGTTTTGTTCAACAAGGAGTAAAGCATCGGCTTCTTTATCGATAATAACACAAACAACTAACTTCATTTCATCGCTCAATAAGCAATAACAATTGATTTATTTTTAGGAAGAACAGAATTGAATAATAAGGAATGATCAAATGTTTATTTTTCTTCCAAACATTTGTAATATATATTAACAACAGACTTGTTCTTTATTTAATCCAATAAGAAACCAGTTAAGTACCTTCATCAAGAAAAAGATGTCTCTCATCAACATGTATGATTGTTTAAGAAATTGAGAATATATGCATGTGAAGATGTGGGTGTGGCATAGAATAAATATTTACATTTATATCTTAAAATTTAATCTCTCCCGAGGCAAATTAAAATTGTTTTATCGTCTCCGACGTTTTGTTATAAGAGCTAAAGGCGTTAACTTTCAGCTTCTTTTAAGACGAACGTTATCAATAACAATAAGGTTAAAGGTGGGACGATTCCCTTTACATCTTAACATTATCATTTAACTGGAACTATATATGAAACTGTTGAGAATCAATTTATTCTGAGCAATTTTTGGTTGGTCACTGTTTAACTTTTTTTATGTGCTCAAGTTTATCTTGTATTTGATACATATCTTTGGCAAGAAAGAGAGAATTATTAAACTAATAATAAAAGCTATAGTTTTTCAACGTGAAGTAATCGACATTCTCACGTACAAGCACACGTATATAGAATAGTTGCCAAATTCAAGCAATAAAACGAATGAAGCAAAAAGAAATCAATAGAATACTTGTAATGCCTATTTAAATATCTTAAATTCGTATATCATCTATTACAAATGATGGACAATTTACTGCACAATAATACTTAAGTATTTGGTATTCAATTACAGTAAAGTCTTTTTCATTTTTCTCATTTATATTCTAACTGGAATTAAACATCGCATACCGATATATGTACTCTGTACATGAAAAAATACAAATAAAAATATTTGTATTGTCGTTCTATCTGCTATATATTCCTTTCATGACTTTTATATTCTGATCACATAACAACTGCTATCATCCAATGGCACATATAACGAAGTCAGGTGAAAGCAATCGAATTTTTCAGTTTTCGCCTCTGAGATACTTCAAGATTTTGTTTAAAAAATATTTTCTTATTGCACATTATATTCATTTGATTAACTGTATTGATTCAACACTGCATGTATGTCTATTTATTAATTGGTGTTCTATTTCTCAAAGAAAAATAACATATTCATCTACGACTTCACAGAAAAACAGTTCTGCTCAGTCTTTTCATAGATAGCTAAATATTGCGGTAAGATTTGATTATTTGAATAAACGACAAAGGTAGTATGTGTGCGGTCAGTTGTTGAATCATAACCATCTGGGCATTTTCGCATGCTCGAATTACCAATACAACTTTCACCAACAATTACACGACATATAAGTATTGCACTCTCTTTACTTGATAGATCTGCTTTTGCGTACTCTTGGCTGGTATAAGAGCATGAAGAAAAATAAAATCCATGACCGTAATATGCTCCTAAAATTTTAAGGTATCAAAAGTTTTTCAATTTACACAATTTTACCATGTAGACCAATAAGCTCATGATCGAATCGATGTTGAATTATACTATCAGCAGCTGAAGGAGTACATCCATGAAAGAGAAGAAGTTCCGTTTGTTCATGACCAATTCGAGCATCAATTATCGTTTTCTGATGTGTATAATCTTTAAGCCAATCAAGAACATCAATATTATATACGCGTAAGATTCGTCTATGTGAAATGGCCAGTTTGTTTGCTATTTCAACATATTCGGCTGAACTTTTTAATAGAATTGTTAAAAACTCATTGGATACCAAAGAGCTATCTTCTAATATATTGAATGTCTCAACACGACGATTGAACTTATCATGAGCACTCACAAGTTCCTCATATACTTCATCACATGACATTGTACCACGAATTTTATTTGTAATTTGTAGTTGCCCATGCTGTAACATGATACACAGAAGTAATGGATAAGTATCAGTGGCAATTGACATGATAGAAGCCACAACTCGATTGCCTATCTGACGTTTGAGCATATTCTCGAACCTGCAATGAAAAGGTTTTACTATTAACATTTTTCTTTTCATTAGAGATGAAACAATAGCTAAGAATTCATATCGACAATAATAGGAAATACAGTCGATAGTAAGCTTGTATTATCGATATACATTTGAATATAGAATAGACACATTACTTACTGAACATGACTTATCTCATCTGTTCGGTCCCATGCCCATACAATGAAGTTATCCGCTAAATAATCAAGTATTTTCTGACAACATAACACATTTCTACAGAAAATATTGGAGTTAACGCTTCTATCATGATGTAGTAATAAAATTAGAGGTCTAGGCTAAAAAAAATTTATTGTATATTATTATTATAAGAAATAGAATGTTTCACATTAGTTGGATCGAATAATGCTTTTGCGATAGCGGCATCAAGCGATCCAAAAAAGAGATCTGGACCGCACATTGGATAACGGTTGGCAAATTTCAATAAGAATTGCATTGCCGGTAAATCTTCTTCGGCCAAAGAGATATCTTTATCAGTCTACCATTAGAAATAAAACTTCTTGGCATAAATATTATCAAATGTTTACATACATTCATATCATTAGAAGATGACATATCAATATCTTTACTAAGTTCAGAGGTGGTGGATGATGTTGCCGTCTACTCGTATTCCATTTTAGAAATAATCAAAACGCATGCAACATTTGATGAGTAGCTTTAAAGGTTTATGTTGGGAAAAATTTAACTCTTATCGTGCAGCTCATTTTTTTTTCTATCAAATACAAAACACGCTGTCTTTTTACTCGTTCTGTTTATTGTGAAAGAAAATGCACATGACTCATGATGATATGTTGGAAAAAATCAACACAGTTAAATTTAACCTTTTCACTTGAATCATAACCACTTACAAAATACAATGACGATAATCTATTAATCACATAATACAAACTACATTTTTTTAGATTATTCACAACAGACAAGATAAGAAATCTAAAGAATAAAAGAAAGCCCAATTTACTTAAAAAAATGAGTCAGTTTGATGGTTTGTTTGATAGATGCATATCAAACTTATGAGATGACGAAATAAAATCATTGAAACAACATGATTCATTGTGCATACAATTGCATTCATTCAACACTGTAATATATGTCTATTTATTAATCGTTATTTTATTTCTTAAAAGTGAAATTACATATTTATCTACGACTTCACATAAAAACAGTTCTACTCGGTCTATTCGTAGATAACTAAGTATTTCGGTAAGATTTGTTCATTTGAATAAACAACATAGGTACTATCTGAGCCGTCATTTGTCGAATCATAACCATCCGGGCATTTTCTCATGCTTGAATCACCAATACAACTTTTACCAACAATTACGTGACACATAAGTATTGCGCACTCATTACTCGATGGATCTGCTTTTGCGTAGCCTTGGCTGGTGGAAGAACGTGAAGCAAAATAAAATCCATGACCGAATGATGTTCCTAAAACTTTAGGTTATCAAAAGTTTTTCACATTACACAATCTTACCATGCTGTCCAATA